TCGATTTTCATTTGTTTTCTCCTGTTGGGCGTCTTTCGTGTCCTTTTTTTGGGTGGGGGGTGGATGGAATCGTGCCTAACGGTTTATTTTAGTCTCTTTGTTCATATTGTTAATTTATATTGTTGTGTCTTTTTGCCTTTTTTTCTGCGATTATCTTTCTCATTGTCTCTCTCTCTTTCTCGCTCGCTCTCGCACTCTTTCTCCCTCACCCTCCCTCTGCCTCTGCCTCTCCCTGCCCCCATCCCACCCCTTCTTTCCTCTCCTTGTGACAGTGTGTATCTTTGTGTCTCTCAGTCTATATTTTTATCTCTGTGTCTGGCGCCCCCCCCCCCCCTCTCTCTCTCTCTCTCCTCTCTCTCTCTCTCTCTCTCTCTCTCTCTCTCTCTCTCTCTCTCTCTCTCTCTCTCTCTCTCTCTCTCTCTCTCTCTCTCTCAGTCCCTCCCTTTTTTCCTCTCTGCATCTGTCTCTGCCTCTCCCTCCCTCTCCCCCTCTTGTTTATTGTGCACCTCCTCCCGATGCCCTCATCCCAGTCCCCTCCATCTCTATCGCTACTTCCTGCTTCTCCCTCCTGCCTTACCGCCGGCCCGCGCAAGCAAGCCACGGAGGGCGCCGCAAGCCCCCGGCCCTTCCCATATCTCTTCCCCGCTCCTCCGTCTCTCGTTTGTCCCCTGCAACAGATGGCCGCCAGATAGTTTTGCATGCGGTTTCTTGTTGCTGTTGTGGCGCCGGGACGGTGTCAGGTTGGAGTGGGCATGTTGTGTGTTTGTCGGCGTTGTTGTTGTTGTTGTTGTTGTTGTTGGCGGTGGTGGTGGTGGTGGTGGTGGTGGTGGTATGTGTGGTTATGTGGTATGTGGTATGTGGGGTGCTGTGGTGTTGAATGTAATGGGGGTTGTTACGTTTTAAGTAGGATGGTCAAAATGAGACTACTAAGGAATATTATGTCATGAATACTGTTACGATAATGCTTCATTTATTCATAATAGCTTTATATAGTTTCTTGTTATTGGTCTGAGGTAGCTCGGGGAGTGCGGGTAGAGTCGGTTAATGATGGTGGTGTTGGCAGAGCTGGTGTATTTGCAGTAGTGGAAGCTGGTTGGCATTTGCTGTAGACTGAGGAAAAGCTGATGCGTAAACGTGTTTGTTCGCGTGTAGAGCAAGCAGGCGTCGCCATAGCAACATCTTGTTGGCCTGGTGTGGTATCCTCTTCATTTTTTTTTCTTCCGTGGTAATAAAATGATTCCTCTCTTTTTTTGTGGTTTGTCTTTCCGTCGTCTTCATCCCACCCCCCTATCTTTTTCAAATTCTCCCACCCCTACTCCCTCGTGACCCCCCCTCCCATTTCTCTCTCTCTCTCTCTCTCTCTCTCTCTCTCTCTCTCTCTCTCTCTCTCTCTCTCTCTCTCTCTCTCTCTCTCTCTTACTCCCTCTTACTCCCTCTTACTCCCTCTTACTCCCTCTTACCCCCCCCCCCCCCATCCACAGCCCTGCCCCAGCACGCCTCGCTCTGGGTTCAGTGCTCGATTCTCGTGGCCAAAAGGGCGTCCCAAATCTGCCGTGTGGGTGTCATACCTGCCCTCCGCGACGGCCCTGTTAGTGGAAAGGCCGGGGGGGGGATATGGCAAAGGAAAATAAGCAGGAGAAGAAAGAGAAGGAGGAATAGGAGGATAAGCATACAGAGAGAGAGAGAGAGAGAGAGAGAGAGAGAGAGAGAGAGAGAGAGAGAGAAGAAAAGAAAAGAAAGAAAGAAGGAGGAAGAAGGAAGAAATGAGAGAGAGAGAAGTTAATAAAAAAAAGGGCAGAAAGATAGCCAGAGAGAGAAAGAGCATGATCAAAAAGCGAGGCTAGAGACAGACACGGGGACAGACACCGAGGCAGTGCAAGTGAGGCAGGAAATACAGCAATTGACTGATAACTCGAGTTCCCGGGGTCCCACCACACCGGACGTCCCTGCCGGCCCACGGATGTCACTCCTCCCCCCCCCTCCCCTGCCGTCCCGCGGATGTCACCCCCGCCCCCCTGCCGCCCTCGCCACCAGCATAGGGGAAGGGTTGGCGGGGAAAGGGAAGGGAGGAAGGAAGGGAAGGGAAGCAAAGGGATTGAAAGTTTTGGGTGTGTGAGCAGAGGTGTTTGTACCCAGACAGACAATGACAGCAGTGATGGGGGGGAGGGTGGAGGAAGGAAGGAGGAAAGAAGAGAGGAAGGAAGAGAGAGAGAGAGGGGGAGAGGGGGCACAGAGATAGAGAGAGAAAATAAGTTGAAAATGAGTTGACCATCTTCTCAGGAGAGGGAAAGATTTAGAGCACCCACAAAGACACACTATGCGCATCATGCAGAAGTCGCGCAGGCAGACACACATTAACGTTATAACAAAAGGGGCGTGCGAAGCGCCCCAACAATAATGCACGCATACAAACAATTCAGACGCCAGGGTTGAGGTCCTCGCGTTTGCGGAGGAGGTGAGGGCGGCCACGCAGACTGACAGACGATGTTTTTTCTTACAG